TGGAAAGTTCCCTTTATTGGAAAAGGCAACTCTAAGGCTGGTTACTGTTTCCCTACTATGTTGCTGGTAATGTGCCATTTGGTAGAGTTTGTTTCATAAGTTCCAGAAAGCACTTGGATCCGAACAATACAAAGGACCATCGCAAGCATTTTGGGCTAGTTTTGATTGAAGACAGATTGCAGGATTATTTGCTAGACCAAATTATTATTTCAAATGTTTGGACAGTGCTACAGTTTCTTCAACAGTCACATATTATTTTCTAATGATAATCATTTGCATTTCCAAAGTCCGTTTTGCCACTGATGTTTCACAACAAATTTATTTAGAATTTCTCTCTGACTTCACCGTGCTTCTGTCAGGTATCATGAGAGGCCTGTAGCTCCTGACTCTCCCATGGTCACCACAATAAATGGCTCCACTGATGAGTCAGAAGAAACTCATGAAAACCACCCAGCTTCGGCCCTAGAGAGGGCTATGTGCAGAGCAGAATGTTAGCTGCTGGGGGAAAAAATTCTGAGCATGTTCTATAAACTCTTTCATCACCATTATTTTATTTTAAATATGTGACTGCTCTTTCTCTTAGACTTCTTGTATTACTAGAAGGTAACCTGGAGGTTAGGCAATTCAGTTGGCTGCTTCTTGCCAGCCTTCCATTTTCCTTTTATTGTCTGCCGCCTCCGCCTCCACATGCTTCTTTCTCACTCCACTTCTGGTGGTCCCAGCATACTCTGCAGATGTTTCTCCCACACAGTGGAAACCTTCCCTAAAGTGTCTGTACACTTCCAGGCTCTGCTCATGGGAAAAGGGGGAAAAAATGAGGAGAAATAATGAATATCTGGAAACGTGTTTCCCTTTGTGCTTTTCAAAAGTGCTGAAACAGGGGGAAAAAAACATAATTTTAGATCGGTTCTCCTTTTCCAAGCTGTGTGCTACAGAATGTGGTTTGAAAGGTGTAAATAATTTTTCATAAACTCTTCCAAATTTCTCAAGCTATTGTAGTTAGAAAACAATATCATTTTGTTTAAATGCTACTGTTTTTAAAAATAGGAGTTATTATCAATGACATTTACTTTGAAAGCTTAAAATATCTGTGTTATATCAACAACACTGAGCTGGCATAGTTTATTCTGTAGTATTCAAATCATTTCCAGAGATATTCTGCCCCATTTGTGCAGTAAAATATGGGAGTAGTATGCTGAAAAGGTGGGAGTAATAGATAACAGAAGAAAACAACTGCTTTCAATTTTTCTAATAACCTCCATTTTCTCCATGCAGTCTATTTTTTCTTTCCCTTTGAGTGATATCATGGGTAATATCCATAATTTAATGCATACTCTTTAAAATTATAACCCCCTTTAGTCACCTTAATCATAAAAACACGTTAAGTTAATAAATTAATATGCCAACATCTAGGTTTGAAAACAACACTGAACTTCTCTAAAATTAGTCTCTTTTGGCACCTTCTGCCCTTTCAATTTTGATATTCTGCCAATGTGAAATAAGCAGAGAATGTGTGTGAATGTGTGTGTGTGGGGGGGGTGTACAAAAGAGGTTTGGGGAGTTTGATTTCGCTTTTCACTGTCACACATCGTTTCCCTTCTGAATCTTAGAACCTGATCATGGTTAAAGCTTAGAAGAAAGAAAGAGAAAGGAAGAACTTTTCTAACCACCACTGATTTTTTTTCACCATACCCTGGCAGTATTTCCAGTGAGTTGCCTACAAGGATATCTCAAGTAGATGGGATTCATGACAAGGATGATGTTTCCCCAGCTGCTCTTTCTGGCTCCATCATCAAGTTAGCATCTGGCTGTTCATCTCTAGCATCACTCAGCTGATATTTTGTTTACCCAGGAGTCTTATGCTGATGCTTACTCTCATTCTTTTAGTATATAAAAAAATTGCAAATTAACCCACATTTCATGTGTTGTTCCTTTGAAAATATAGTTACTGGCTACTTGGACAGATAGGTGCAGTCAGACATAAATCCGCTGAAGTATGCTACAATACTCAAAGGATAAAGAAAAATTAATATAGGGTCTTATGTGTCAGAACCAAAGGTGCAGTTTTCACTTAGATTAGGAAGAGTGGTTTTGAGATTTTTCTTAAAGAAGAGAAATACTATTGCCTGACACATTCTGGTTACATACTAACAATGGACCAAATAGAAGTAAATTAGAATGAACAAGACAAATTAGGTAGGCATTCTTAAAAATAATGATTATGGTTTCAAACAAATGTCTATCAGACCTCAAATAGTTCCTTTCAATGATTTGATTATAGATTCCACACAGAGTAAGTGAGATATCTCAAAGAGAAATATAACAATCTCTAATAAACATTCATGGAAGTTGATAATGTTCAATTTTAACAAGGATCCGTATACTTTGGTAATTAACTACAGATTTACAATGTAATTGGTAACCATGAATAATTGAAAAATATTTATTTCTAGTAAAAAGATAAAATGAAGTAAATGACACAATAAATAAAGCTAAAATAACGGTCAATTTTATTAGATCAAATAAAATAGATAGAAGATCTTTTATATAGATAGAAGTTGATATAAATTCAGGGCCTTATTGCTCTTGGAAATATGAGACCTTCTAGACTCATTAACCGAGTGAAGTACTCATCCTAGACTAATTATTCTTCAAACTATTTTTTTAGTTTGGTTCCTTGCTACATCAAATTAAATAGCAAGTATTCTGAACAGAACCTAATGAACCTAAACTTATATGACACCAAAGGATGAACAAACATCAGGGTGGGACTTCAGACTTACTATATTTTCTTTTTTGATTCCCTTTTATGTTTCCTGGTCTTGATGGTTAAACATTTGTCAGTGAAAATAACAACAGAAATAACAACAAAACTGTGTCAGAATTCTATTTCTAAAAACATTATTATTATTAGTTCTTGGTGATTCCAGGGATCAAACTCAGGGTCTCAAATATGTAAAGCAAGAGCTGTACGGCTAAGATACATCCATGAGATCTGTAAATGGTGTGGAGTGTCTTAAATTCCTAGGATATTAGAGACAGAATGAAATCATGCTATTTGAGTTCTACTCAGTAAACAAAGGTACTCACTTTCCCATCTTACCTACTGTAGATTAGCAAACCTGATATATTTCATAATCATTTTCAAATTTTGTTTCCTTCTCTCCATTAAAAATGACAAATACTTTTTTTAAAGTGACAAATAATTGGGGAGCTATAATTTTAGTGCTTTTTCTGGAGGACAAGGTGCTAGAGAGAGATAGAGAAATAGAGCAAGAAAGAGAGAGCAAGGGAAGGAGGGAGGGAGTAAAAGTGTTTTCAATCAAGAATAAGCATAAATTATATGGTATTACTCAAAATCAATTTACAACATTAGTAATAGCAATAAGGTCTGTCAACATGTATTAGTGCTGGGCAAGAGAAAACTGGACTGGAAAATTAGCAAGATTGTAGGTGAAAATAGAATATCCTAGTTAATGCACACAGATCCACAGAACTCTTCTTATCTAGGAATCCTTCCACTTTCAGAGAGCTAAAATTTTGAAACTAGAAAACATATATGTCCCAAAAAGAAAAATCATTCATAATCACAATGACTTCTGAAAGAGAAAAGGGATATTGTTAAATTTACATTTACCTAAATAAAATGGAACTTTCCCACAGAAGTATCTTTTATAATGTTAAACTTCATTACAATTATTAAATTTTAGGCCACTTGAATTCACAATAATTTTCAAAAATATTTCCTTATGACTAATGGAAAAATCATTATACAATCTTACATACAAAAACCATATTTGAAGATTTTTGAAACATCTCTTCTTTGTCACTTCTAAATGGTGTAGCAAAAACTTTGAAAATGTGGATCTTGGTTTGAGTTTTCTTTATATACATTTGGCAATTTCAAACCAGCAGAGGGCTCCCTGCTTTAAAACTGCTCCACAGAAGCAAAATTCAGCCAAAAAAAAAAAATGGGTAAGAGGCCAAGTAGGGTTTAATATTTGTTATGGGCTTAAGTATTTGCTCTAGTTCTGTGTTAAATTAAGAATTATAAAAGTTGAATGAAGCAAAGCCAATTCCCTACATCTTATGCTTGTGATATAATTTGTTAATTTTTCCATCATGTAAAATTTTACTTTCTCTGCTTTTTCAATTTTAAGACTATGCGTGCTGTAATGCCATGTCATAAACCCACAAAAATAGCTGCCATCGAATTATTTCAAAGGTTTCATTTTTTTCTCTTTTTAAGTTCATATAACATCTTAATAAAATGAAGTTAAAGGCTGGAGAGATAGTACATCAGGTAAGGTAAAGCACTTGCCTTGCATGTAGCTGATTCAAGATTTTATTCCTGACATTTCATGTGGTCTCTCAAACACTACCCGAAGTGATTCCTTATGTGAGCACTTTCTCTGAGCATATATCTGAGTATGCCAAAAAAGAAAAGAAAGGGTAACCAAGTAACCAACTGAACAGTCTCTTTAGCATAATTATAAATATAAACAAAGATCAAATGATGAATGAAAGACAACTTGTTTTATTGATAATAATTTTTATTATTTAAATTAGCACTGTAGCACAGTCCTCCTGTTGTTCATCGATTTGCTCAAGCAGGCACCAGTAACGTCTCCATTGTGAGACTTGTTGTAACTGTTTGGGGCATATCAAATACGCCACAGGGAGCTCGCCAGGCTTTGCTGTGTGGGCGAGATACTCTAGGTAGCTTGCTGGGCTCTCCGAGACGGATGGAAGAAGCAAACCTGGGTCAGCCTCGTGCAAGGCAAATGCCCTACCAGGTGTGCTATTGATCCAGCCCGTTATTTAAATTATAACCTTAAATCTCAGAAAAGAAACGAAGCAAACATAAAAAAAATCTAGTTGTTTTTCTTTTTCATTTTTCTTTAAACCTCTCTGAATCTTATCCCAATAATCATTGTTAGTCAATTCCAAATGAAATGCTTGAAGACTTTCAGATTCCCAATAAATAATGTAGACACAGGTCTAGCAAAATTTTAGATTTTTATTGATATTATTGTGACAATTGAAAATAAAACAGAGTATTACTGCATGCTACTTAATCACCAAAACAAATTGGGAAAACTTATTAAATATGTATCACAAATTAAACTGCTGAATAAATAAATTCTGACAAGTTCTATTCATTTTAATTTCAGTGATATCTTTTTCTCTATTGCAGTTTCTTACATAATTAGTTTTTATAAGGTAAAAATAGCCTTAGGAAGACATCTAATATTATTTATTTTATTTGACAAATTGTAGCATAGCATAGTTTTCTCAAACAGCAGAGAAAAATTTGTCAGATCAATGCAAATAAATTCTTCACTTTTTAAAAATTTTCCCTTCCTATTTTATTCTCATTGATTTAGCAGTAAAATTCATCATCATATTTGAAATAATTTTTTCATCAGTCATAATAAAAAGAATGTAGCTTATTTTTTAAAATGTTAACAGAAAATAACTTAGAAGCAAGCAAGAGTAAATAAGTATGAGACTTTCATTCGAAACTGTTTTATATAATCTTTCCAGATAATGGTTATATTTCCATGGGCAGTAGTAATGCACTGAGATTGTGAACAACTGATTGAAACAAAGGATTTATGCACAAACAAGTTATTTTCAAGAACCGGAGACAAGCTGCTTCACGCTCTTTACTCCCCAGAAAGCAATACAGATGGAAAAAAACATCTGAAAAAATAAAAGACAAAGAGAAAAACACAATTAAAATTGAATCAATACATTTGTTCAACTGAGTTAAAAATATTGTTCATGAGGAAAATGAACATAAACATCTTAGACATTCAATTTATTTAAATTGAATCTAGCAGTTGTTCAATGACTTAATCAATGGAGCTTAAAACACAATGACTAGATTTGTGAGTATATGTACTCATGTATATACATGCATTGCTACATTATATATATATACAATATATACATAGATTTAATGTAACAACTTTCTTCTGACTTTTGGATATACTGCATGCTCTGCACTGTAGCACTGTCCTCCAGTTGTTCATTGATTTTGCTCAAGTGGGCCCAGTAACATCTTCATTGGGAGACTTGTTGTTTCTGTGTTTGGCATATTGAATAGGTCATGAGTAGCTTGCCAGGCTTTGCAGTTTGGGCAAGATACTCTTGGTAGCTTGCCGGGCTCTCCGAGAGGGGTGAAGGAATCGAACCCAGGTCAGTCTTATCGGCTGTGTGCAAGGCAAACGCCCTACCCGCTGTGCTATTGCTCCAGCCCAACTGCATGCTCTATATGCTGTATTTAAGAAAATCATTTATACAGTTTAAGAAGTCTTTGGAAAAGGAGAAATAAAAACATTATCAAAATTAAAAGATTTTCCTAAGTCAATGTGATCCAACATTCAATGAATTTTATACAAACTAACTAAATTCTACTTATCTAACTCTAATGATCTCCTTCTGTCTCTGTCTCTCTCTCTCTCTCTGTCACTGTCTCAAAACTTGTGAAAAGGGGCTGTAGAGATTGAATACTGAGGTGCTTTCTCCTAGTAACTCTGGCATTATGTATGATGCTCCAAGCACTGCCAGGAGTAAACCCTGAGCATGGAACCAGGAGTGTGTCCTGAGCACTGTTCGATGTGGAACCCAAAATTTTAAAAAGTCAACAAAATATATATATATATGATTGAGTAACTGCCAAACTCTCTTCAAGACTGAATATAAAATTAACCACAAGAAGTCCTTCAAGTTCATTGAACATAATCCCTCCCTCCCTTCCTTCCTCCCTCCCTCCCTCCCTCCCTCCCTCCCTTCCTTCCTTCCTTCCTTCCTTCCTTCCTTCCTTCCTTCCTTCCTTCCTTCCTTCCTTCCTTCCTCTCAATGGTCCTCAAGGAGGCCCTGAGACACTCCTGGCAATCTTCAGCCCAGTGTTGAAGCCAAAATGTTCAATGCTCAGCCTAGTGGTATAATGTGTCACTAGGGCCACACCTTGCCCTATTCCTAGCATGTGCTAGCCATGTGCTCTTCAACTTAAATTCTCTCCCCCCCCACCTATTCTTTTGATTTCATTTTTTTCTTAATAACTCATTCCTAATAAATTTTTCAGATAAAATTTGTGACTTCTAATGATCCTATAAATATTATAGTGTCATCCTCAGCAGGAATCCATGGTGGATTTACAATATGCTACATATAATTTATATATTATACATTATACATTTCATTTTAACCATGTGTACAAGTGTATATATATATATACATGTCAGTTCATTTCATATTAAAGCAATATGAGATGGAACAGCAGTGATAAACTTTAATCAGTATTATCTAGTACAGTTCATCATATGAGTGATCACATTTCCCCAGAAAGGAATAATTCCTTTATTTTATTTTTGTTTTTTGAGACATGCAGCTATGATCAGGGATTACTCTTGATTCAGTGCTTGGGAGTCTCTACTGACAGTACTTGGGGGAACCAAATGCAGTGTCAGGGATTGAAATGGAATTGATCATAGGTAAAGCCTTTGTCTTAACTCCTGTACTATATATCCGAATTCAAAAGAAATAATTCTTTAATGATACTTATCTTTCATTTTTTCAAATTTCTCATTAAGTATAAAGAAACATATAAACATGTGCATAATGTATGATATATATACATATATGTTCACAAAATAAGCAATGACAAGTAATATGATAGAGACATGGAGAACATTCTGGGGTAATGTAAAATCAAAGTCTTTCATTGAGATCAGTCAAAAATTCACAAATCATATTAAGAACTGTGGCAATTTTGTTTAATAAAATCATTATTAAATGATAATTATAATAAACAACAAACAAACAAACAGTCTTCCCAGTGTTCATCGATTTGCTTGAGCGGGCCCAGTAACATCTCCATTTTTTTGAGACTTGTTGTTACTGTGTTTGGCATATTGAATACGTCATGGGTAGCTTGCCAGGCTTTGCCATGTGGGCAAGATACTCTCGGTAGCTTGCCGGGCTCTCCAAGAGGGGCGGAGGAATCGAACCCGGCCCCCTCAAAACACTAATAGTTAGATTTCATTACCATTCAGTTTCTTGTGAACCTTTTGATTTTTTTGCTCAAAACCAGTATGTTACATTAAGCAATTTGATAACTTTCTTCAAATTTATGTAGTTCTTTTAACTAAACATTTATGATATTTAAAATTTCAATACTAAAGACAATTGAAACAAAGAAACTATCACTATCACCCCGTTGTTCCTCAATTCGTTTGAGCAGGCCCAGTAACCTCTCCATTCATCCCTGTCACGTGTAAGTGTAGCCCAATGACATACTGGGGACTTCCTCAAGGTCAGGGGAATGAGGACCATTTATTATTACTGTTTTTGACATATCAATTACGCCAGGGTAGCTTGTCAGTCTCTGCCATGCGGGTGGGATACTCTTGGTAGCTTGCAAGGCTCTCTGACATGCATGGAGGCTTTTGGGGTAGCCTCTAATCACCTTTACAGGTGTTCCTAGTCAGGCATATAGGTGGGTATGATACTCTCAGTAGCCTGCAGCAAATGCGGCTGTGCGCTTCCGGGAATTTGGTTTTAGAGTCTCTGGATGGCCGTTGATGGGATTACATGGCAGTTGGTGGGTGTAACTGTCTAGCTACTGGAAGGTGTGGGATTGATAGAAAGACAATTGAAACAAAGAAAAAATATTGACATATTGGGATTATCACACAGTTTAAACACAATATATTCGATGAGAAGTTTTGATGTTTTTTCTTTTGACTCAAGGAAAATGACCTCATGATATTTCTCATGATGGTGGCAGGTAAAATAAAACCAAAATTTGGTATATTTTTAAAAGTACTTAATTTGTGGCACAAATTATACTTGTCCATGAAAATGAGTGAAAGTTAAGAGAGTCTAACAGAAAATAATTTTCAAGTGAAAGAGAGATGATAAGACTATATTAGGGTAAATAACTTAATTTGGATCCTTAATAGTCACAGAGCAACTAGCACATACCACTTACAAGTTAATAAAATATGTCAAACTGAGGTTTGTTTGTTTGTTTGTTTGTTTTGAATCTAGTGTTTAAGGTCACAAAGATTTTTTTGAAGACTGATATTTAGGGAGAATGATCTCAGATGATCTCTAAATTTACATGAAGATTTTGTGAGTAAGTCATAATTCTCTTTTTATGCACTTTCTAATGTATGAATGTTTTTACCTAAGACTCCAGAAATAAAAAGAACTGAGTTGTGATCTATTATGTGAGTGAAAATTGCTATAATTACTACAATTTAGGTCAAGGTTTTTTTGTTATTCTGCCACTTCACAACAAATTCTTTCCTTTTTTAAAAAAACTATCATTCAAATCTTATCTGAAGGGCTCATTCTGAATTAAAAAATCAAAAGACCCTATACTTTCCACTTATTTAAAATGCTTTAAATTTCTTATTAAAAATCGTGAGGATGTACAGTTTGCAGGTTTTTTTTTCTTAGTTTCTTATCCCCTCTACGATCCAGGAGCTAGATACTGTTCTTCTAAATAGATAGGCAAAAAAAAAAAAAAAACATAAAAATAGGGGGTACAATTCCGATTCAATATTAAGGCTTCAGAATATCCTTGTTTAGTCTAAGTCATTCATTGCACTAGGTGCAATAATGGGGATAGATGTTTCATTCTCATGGCTGGGGATTCAGTTTTTAATGAGGCCATAGGGAGCTTATGCAGTTTACCAAGAAATCACAGAACTGCTAAGTATCAGAACTAAGATGATTTTCATTCATTCAGTGACCCACAGAAAATGTAGCTGTACATAAACATCCTGAGAAGTCAGTTAAATGAAAATTAGTATAAAGAGTGTATTAATTTCTGTAGGAGTCAATTGCCTAGTGATTTCTGTGTGAGCCAAGACTAAACAAATGTGTCTCTCTCTGCATACATATATATATATATATACACATATGTATGTATATATTTCCATGTATATTCATGAAATTATAATAGCATTGAAGTCTTTTGTTTGTGGTATTAACATATAAAATTATTATAATTGACCATCACCAAAATGGTACTGACTTTTCACCACTGTTTATACATTTCATCTATCCTTGTTTGCCTTCCCAATCCTATCCCACTGCTTGTAACTGGTTCAGTATTCCAATGTCAATGACTCATCATTGTTCAGTACTGTCTATCCTCTTATTTTGAAATAAATTGGAACTTTAATATGTAACAAAATCTAGATTGGCACAGGAAATAGAAATTAGCAAATTATCCATGTCCACCCAAAAATATGTATAACTGAACATACATTTTTACATTTTTCTACAAAAAAACTATGTAGGAGAAACCAGATCTGCCTATTTAAATATAAGAAAATATATATATGTTTATATAATTTTAAGCCAGGAAATTATTTAACACAAGCTTAACATAACCACTTGATTTTTGAGATTGCCCTATTTGAAATGTTCTGTCGTAATATCTTTTTCTTGATTCTTTGTTTACAAAGGCATCTTTTATCAGCCTGAATTTGTCATTTGAGATTTAAAGGTTCATTGGTAAATTTCTCAATCAACTTTTTAATTTTGCTAAATTGAGATAAGAACTTTTACTTGGGTGGTAAGCAATTTCCCTTAAAACTAACTAGGAACATTTCACAACTTTTCATGGCGACAAAATATGAGAACTTAAGTTCATTTTACCTTTTTACCTTTAGATAAACTTG